AGTGAGTGCTTGGCCCCGGGGCACGGGGCACAGGACCGGCCCCTGCGAGTCTGCTCAGCCCACAGCCTGCTGCCTGCGGCTCTCTCCGTCTCTCTCTCTCTGTCTCTGTCTTTCTCTTTCTCTGTCTCTCTCTCTTTCTCGCTCTCTGTTTCTTTGTCTCTCTGTCTCTCTCTTTCTCTTTGTCTCTCTCTGCATCCAGTTATGCCACAACCCCCTCATGGCCTGTCTGCCTGGGTGCTGAAGTCTAGGGGTGGCCTGGCCGGGTGCTGAGGCCCTGAGGGTGGCCTCTCTGACCGGGTGCTGAGGTCTGGGGGTGGCCTCTCTGACTGGGTGCTGAGGTCCCAGGGGTGGCCTATCTGGTGGGGCGCTGAGGTCCGGGGGTGGCCTGCCTGCGACCGGTGGCGGCTGTGCTATCACTCACTCACCACATCCACGTCTGTCGGGAGCTGGCGATGGGAAGAGAATGTTCTGGGTTGATGTGGAAGATGAGTGCACAGTGTTTTCTTCACAAGGAAGGAGCGGAGCTGGGACTGTGCAAACCAGAGTGAGAAACGGCAGGGGGGGACCCAGTGGCTCAGTGGAGGGACGAGAAGCTGCTTCTCAGGGCCCAAGGTGTGCTTGCAGCTGTGAAAAGCAACAGAACAGACTGTCCTGTCCCAGGAGAATCTGACGTGGGGGTGCCCGGAGCTGAGCCTCACTGGGACTGTTGGGACATTCGCTTTCTGAGAAGGGCTGGCAGTGCTGATGTTGCCCGGCCCCCCGCAGCGGGCTCAGACGTCCTTCCTGGCCTGGCCGCCAACTCAGGGACATTGAGCCATTTTTTCCTCCTTTAAACACCTCCACACACCCCTGGACACCTCTGAGTCCACAAGGCGCTCCCTCCAGCTGAGACCCCCACATGCAGGGTCTCTTGGATCTGGGAACACGTGGCTGTGGCTTCCCCGCCCCGGTCGGCACATCCGTGCTCCTCGTTCCCGGGCAGAGTGCCCGTTGGGGAGGAGGGACCTCGGGCCGCTTGCTCTCAGCCCGTGACTCCCTGCCTGCATGAGCAGACGGCACCCTCAGGGCCCAGGATCAGAAAACCCCTAAATTCAGCAACTGCGCTGCCGGCAACATGGGAGTTGGCAAAAGGGAGTTCGGAAGACAGCGCACCAGCAGGACTCTGCAAGAGGCTCCGGGACGGCTCTGGGAGGTGGAAATGCCAGGTCTTACCACAGCTGGAGAGGAGACCAGCTCTTCCCACTTCACCCTCCAACCCCACTGCAGGCCTCGTCCTCCGTATGCTGTCCTGAGCTGGGGAGAACGCCTCGTGCTGCTCCCCGCCCCCCAGGTTTCCATGCTCATCCTCGCCCCGGAAGATGTGGAGGAAACAGCTCCCCCAGCCTCAGTCCTGTCCAGCTCCCCCAGCCTCGGTCCTGCGCACGCTGCTGTTTCCAGGCCCATCCTTGGCACTGGGATAAACCCAGCGGCATCTCAGGCCCTGGAGGCCCAGCGGGGAGGGGGACATCCCCTGGGTCTCACCTCTGTGGCTTCTCCTGAGGGCTCTGTGGGTCTCCCATGCCCCTTCCGCATCACACCGCAGGCTTCCTCGTACACGCTTTGGATTCCTGGTGTTGAAGAAGAGTGTATCCTACGCCTTGCTGGGAAGGCGAAGAGACATCCTGCAGGGCGATTACGACAGGGAAGACCTTGCTGGGACGGCGAGCAGGTGTCCTGCAGGGCGATTACGACAGGGAAGACCTTGCTGGGAAGGCGAGCAGACGTCCTGCAGGACAATTACAATGGGGAAGACCTTGCTGGGACGGCGAGCAGGTGTCCTGCAGGGCGATTACGACAGGGAAGACCTTGCTGGGAAGGCGAGCAGACGTCCTGCAGGGCGATTATGCCCGGGAAGACCTTGCTGGGAAGGCGAGTGGGTGTCCTGCAGGGCGATTACGACAGGGAAGACCTTGCTGGGAAGGCGAGCAGGTGTCCTGCAGGGCGATTACGACAGGGATAGACCTTGCTGGGAAGGCGAGCAGGTGTCCTGCAGGGCGATTATGCCCGGGAAGACCTTGCTGGGAAGGCGAGCAGACGTCCTGCAGGGCGATTATGCCCGGGAAGACCTTGCTGGGACGGCGAGCAGGTGTCCTGCAGGGCGATTACGACAGGGAAGACCTTGCTGGGACGGCGAGCAGGTGTCCTGCAGGGCGATTACGACAGGGAAGATCTTGCTGGGACGGCGAGCAGGTGTCCTGCAGGGCGATTATGCCCGGGAAGACCTTGCTGGGAAGGTGAAGAGACGTCTGCAGGGTGATTACAATGGAGAAGAGACGGGCTCCCACCGGGTGTAGCAGAGGAAGCAGCTGGGGGTGCAGCCCACACACGGGAAGGTCAAGGTCAGGAATCAAGGTCGGGACGGAAAACGACGAAGCCAAGACCTCAGGGTGGGGGATTCTGGCTAAGTCCACTCCACAGGAGCCCCACTGAGGCAGCCCAGTGGGGTCGGATCTCAGGGCCCAGGGTTCTCTGGACACTGACCCAGCAGAATTCTCCCTGAACTGGATGTGCAGGCCGAGGACCTGGCTGCAGGTGGAGCCGCCCAGGAGGTCGGGGGACCCAGCAGGAGCTTGGGCCAGCAGGGAGGTGTGTTGTCCGCTGGGTGCAGATGGTTCTGCCAGGATAAGCTCCACCGGGTAAAGGAGGCCCCTTCAGGCCCAGGCTACTCTGTGCAGTCATCTCCACACACATCCTTAACATAGGCCCCAAGACACACAGGCCCCACCACACACAGACCTCAATACACACAGACCTCAATACACACAGGCTTCGACACACACAAGCCGCACACACACAGGCCTAAACACACAAGCCCCAACACACACAGACCCCAACACACACAGACCTCAATACACACAGGCCTAAACACACACAGGCTCCGACACACACGAGCCGCAAACACACAGGCCTAAACACACAAGCCCCAACACACACAGACCCCAACACACACAGACCTCAATACACACAGGCTTCGACACACACATGCCTTGACACACACAGGCTTCAATACACACAGGCTTCGACACAGACCCCAACACACACAGGCCCGACACACACAGGTGCCAACACACACATAGGCCTCAACACACACAGGCCCCAACACACACAGACCCCGACACACACAGACCCCGACACACACAGACCCCGACACACACAGGCCTCAATACACACAGGATCCAACACACAGGCTTCGACACACATAGGCGTCAACACACATATAAGGCCTCAACACACACAGGCCCCGACACACACAGGCCCTGACACAGGCCTCAACACGCATGGGCTCCAACATACACAAGCCTCAACACACACAGGCCTCGACACACACACAGGCCCCAACACACATAGGCCCCAGTACACACAGGCTCCCACACACATGGCTTCCAGGCAGCATTTTCACTAGAGGAACCTCAGGGGGTGGACTCTGGGGTGGGCGGATGATGGGTGGAAGGAAGCGGAGTCTGGACTGTCCCGGGGCAGGCGCCGTGATCTCTTCACGCTACCTGGTGGGTCACACGTGCAGACTTAAGGGAACCACGAAACCTGCGTTGGAAATTCAGGCTGTGATGTCGGCAAGTTCTCTCCGTGCGGACTCAGCCGGCCACTGGGTTCCAACCCATTTCAGCCAGTTTTGTTTTCTTACGAGAGAAGGACGCTTCCGCCTTTCAGCTGTTTCTTCTCTTATCTGACATCCTGAAAACTCCGGGATTTCTGTTCC